ACTGAGTGAAGTGCTTCGATAGTTTGCTTCTAGTTAGTATAGTTGACTATTTAGTGAAGGGAAGAAAATGGTCGGAAAATCAGGCACTGAATTCCGCAGCTTTTTTGTGACTTGGATACGAGTAGTGATTAAAAAGTTTCAGTGTTTAAAGTTTGTAAAAACTTTATAACGGTGATCATTTAAGTGAAAACAAAAATAGTTTTACTTGCTATTCTTTATAGTTTGTTTTACTTCGTTGCATTTTCATCATATATTTTCTCTGCACCATGACTAAATTTACTAACTACTCACCTTTTCAACAAAAAAAAAAAAATAAAATATCCATAAATAACTTCGATAAGCCTTTATTTTCGTTAGCGATTTCATTGCTCACAGTCATTAACCGTAAGCTCCCCGCATAAAATGCTTTCATAGTAATATATCACAAAAGGTATCAAATATGTGGTTAATGATAAAAAAAGATACAATAATGATATTCACCAAATTGAGCAAGTGGCCTGGCACTCTGGCAAAATAGCAGATAAGCTCAAGCAACGACAGTTGCCAATATTCGTTGCTTGAGCTGATTTGCTCTATTGCCATACTGCCAGGCCACTTGCTCACTTTGGTGAATAGCACTAATGTGTTTAATGTGGACCAGTTATTTTCGGTCTCTGCTTAAAATAAAATCGATTTTGTAATCCCAGCGGAAAAACCGCAACTTATTTTGGTGATGCAGTCTAATATACATACATACATGATTGTATGCTCATAATATAGATGTACTACAATATGCAGCCAATGAGCGATGACAACAAGTGTAATGATAATACAAACGACATTCGTATATCAATGACAGTTCGCGGATACCTCACATCGACTGCGATGATGCAAATTTGAGCGTCCGCGCTAAATGCTAAACGCTAAACAGTGTGACTAAAAACATGACTTCATTTGACCAATTAAAGTTTCTAGTCACAACTATGGCCGCTTGTTGTCAGCAAATACCGATTATGGAATCTAAAGGTTTATGTGTTTGCTTATTGCACTTGTCTATTTACAGAGGTACATTAGGATGGCGCATAACAATGTGAATAATTTATGAATTAATCCAGAACTGTCGCTCAATAGACAGATTCAGATAAATTTATATTTGTACTTTTCATTTATGTACATACAAACATACATACATAGCAAAAACTTTTTCCAAAAACTTAAATCGCTTACAACATAATCTACAACTATTCTACGCGCTCGTTGTTTTATTCAATAAATATTTTCTAATTTAACTTTTTAACCGACTTCAAGAAAGGAAGAGGTTATCGGCGAAATAATTTTATTTCTTTTATGTATGTATGTTACCGCACAACTTTGGACCACGTCAACCGACTTCTAAAATTCATTTTTTTTTTAGGTAAAGGTAGTATGCTCAGGTAGTATGCTTGCATATTGTATGTACAGTATCGGTCAATAAAATAGCACCCCATTATTGAATTAATTCATCTTTCATATTGCATTATTATCGGGTTCTGATTTGAGTTTGGCGGACTTTCCAAATGCATTATTTCTAAACTCTAATTGATGGAAATTTCCAAGTTGAGTAACTAAGTTCAAATTCGGCATTTCAACGTGGGAAAGTGTGTTAAAAATTGATTGCAAGATTTGATTACACCCAAGTGAAACATAATAAAAGCTTGTAAAAAAGAAAATACAAAATGTAAACTGAAATTCCTTTGTACTTTGTAGTAAAGAAATGCTTGTGTACATGAAACGTATCTGTGCACATCCCACCTCTAAGACGATACAGCATAAAACCAAACGAAATAATACTGAAGGAACAAACAAAAATCGATTTGATATCGGGGAAGTGAAAATACCGGCAAATTACTGGAAAAAAAGAATGAACAGCTTACAGAAAAACCTAAATTTCGCGACAAAGTGTGACCTACAAAACCACAATCTTAAACAAAAACAAAAAAACTCAACAATAACAGCAATGAAACCAATAGGCACAATAGGCAATAGCGTATAGAACGCAAAAGTAGCGAATAGTGCCAGTACCTAAAAGTAGTACAAAAACCGCGCAGCAAAAGAATGTGAATAGTTGTTTTTTGCTTTAGCAACCAACTTTAGTGATATCCAACGCGAATGCTAAAAGAATTTTTGCTAAAGCAGCAAAAAAGAACAAATTTTATTAACGTATTTTTATATGGTCCACTTATGGAGTCATTATAAATACATACTAGCAGTTTATATGTAGTAAATCAATGCATACTTGTATGTGTGTATGTACATACATTATGGAAACATTTAGATACAATACTACCATTCAAACAATGTAAACAAAACTGCTTACAATTATACACTTGTATGCTTAAGACGTTCATAAATCATAGTACAAAATAACAAAAACAACAATATAGCCCTCGCATACCAGTTACGACCTCAACAATAATTTTATCTAAAATTCTCTAAAATTGCTTTCAAAATTAAATTATGCTATTTTGCTCCTCGAAACGGTTTACATCAACGTTATTACGCGAATGATAGGCATCTGGATGTGTGTATGTATGTATATGTTCTTATTATTAAAAAGTTTTTAAAACATCTTGAAAATTCTGTATTGAAAGGCATCAGTTTTCAAGACTTTCTTCTTATCTTTCTTTTAATTTAATTACCTTTCTCGATTAGTTCACCCCATTTCTTCGACCACGCACGTAAACTCTTTGCGTAACCCTTTTCTATATCAGCACGTTCTTGTATTAGAGTCTGCAAGTCATTGCAAAGCCTATTAAGAGTCGTAAAAAGGCATTTATTAATTTTTTACACTCATTTTTATAAAGCTTCTTCTCAACTCACTTGTATCCGTCTTCGATACGTTTGGTGGTGCGTTTATAATTGCCAGGTTCCCAGAAAGAATCACTTCCTGCCTGCAGAAGGTGATCATCGCTGTGATGCGACATGACCTATAAAATTATAAAAAAACAGCAGTTTAGTAGTTGTTGACAGGTTGCGCAGACAAGTAGAAAAAAGTATGAATTTTAAAAAGAATAAATACACATTTTTCGAAGCACATTGTAGCAGTTTTTTCTACTTGTATCTTCTAGATACGCTATCTCCACACTTTATTTGCGATAGAAATTTAAAATAAGTGCCAGGCGAAAAAAAAGTTATCATTCAGCAAAAACCGGACTGAAACAACAACAAAGTTCATTCGTTACACGAGCGCGAGACTATCAGATGTGTAATCATAAGGTAAATTTATCTCACTGACGCCACTAACGCTAAAGCTACTACAGAATATCAACCTGCCAACCAAACGGGCGCGATCGAATTTGACGTCAATTAACTGCGCTCGACCAATAAACTGGGCAGATTTGAAAACCGAGAGAGTTGCTGGAGCGCCGAAGGTCGGACGGCAATGGAAATTTTAGTTTTAATTTGTAATTCGCATTTGAAAAACTAAGAACATTTGCTTACATAAAATATTATTTAATTTCTCAGTCTTAACAATGGTATGGCACTGATAGCGAACAGAATCTATGATTTCAATTACACGATAATACTCGATTTATACGATGATAACAAATAGCTAAGGTGCCGGCGAAAACGAAAGAAATTTTCTTTGAAATGGAAAGCGGAAAAGGCTGAAGAGACTCGTCGGAATGCTCGCGCCGGGTTGGTGCACCAAAACTCACTGACTACACCTATTCTATTTGCCAACACAATGAACCGCAGTCAAAGCTAGTCATTAAATTTTTGTTATTCTTTCTACATACCTATCCACTGTTATGTACATAAATACTTTTGCTTCCCCGCCCAAACACTTACTCTTCTCTACTATCTATTGACCGAGCTAACTCGTGGATTTTGCGCTTTGAAATTATTGTGAAAACATTATAACGAATACTCTTTCACACTTATTTTCTCTCGTGTAGATATCTCTTAGGAATGGATGATGCGAGTGAGAGTAATGATAATAATGTAGCACCTTTTCGTGCGTGAGACTACTTCTAATTGGATTTGGATATTAGCACAGTTTAATGATATGTTATATATAATTATATATAAATTGATAATTCTGGTTATATACATAAGTATTTATGCTAAAGCTCTTCCGCTCTAGCGTTGGACAAAATCTTAATATATAAAAATCCCGTATCACTGTGTTCGTTTAACCGATTTTAATGAAATTTTGTGGGGTGTGTTGTTGGTTCCAACTTAAAAGATAGGATATTTATGAACCCGCGAAAAATTATTTTTACCTTTGTTGGAAATAAAGAAAAAATCAGATTTTGGTATTATTTCCCATTTAAAAGTTAAATAAAACAAATTTTTCGTTATTGCCGTTTGTGGTATTCATACCTCTGAAAGTGTTCATGGTAGAGTACTGGAAACTGGTATGGAGATATATGAAATCAAATTGGGGCTATTAGAAAAAGGAGAGGGCACATCCCATACAAACCAAATTTTTCATACTCCATATCCCGCAAAATGTTCATGGAAGATCAAAACAAGCGCATACTCATGGAGAAAAATTGCGGTTAATGGAAAAGGACTCCCGAAGTATAGAACAGAAGTGGACAAAAAAAATATTTTCTATAAAGGCTTAAAGTGCTTCAATGAATTACCAGAGGCTATAAAAAATTGTGATACTATCACTCTTTTCAAGCGGCTGCTATTTGACTATTGTAGAACACAGCCTACAAGATAGTGATGTATCAACAATAGCGTGGATTGGAAACTAGGCCTTTCCAACCACCAAGATATCGAGACTAGGCGGATCGGAAACTCGGCCTTTCCGACTACCTAGACCCTTAGATAATAAACAATAAACGAGCGGATTGGAAACTAGGCTTTTCCAACCGTTAACCGTCACGAAAGCGCGACTGGGTGGATCGGAAACTCGGCCTTTCTGACCACCCAGGAGATATCAATAAATGGAGTAACCCAAAAAGAATAGCGCGGATTGGAAACTCGGCCTTTCCAACCGTCTACATAACTTCCAGGAAATTGCATGCGTGTATAATGACATAAAATAATTGCAGTGATAAAGAAATAATGTTATTTAAAAATTTCTGTAGAGCATTTTGTATTTTGTATTTAATATTTAATATTTATATTTTAATGGCCTTATTCATAAAAAATAAAGTAGCTTTATAAAAGGTTTATAAATTGAAAAATGTATGAAAACGTCAATTTATAAAGCTCTTTAAACCTACTTTATTTTTTATGAATTAGGCCATAAATCTAAAATCTAATTATAAGAATGTTAAATCTTTGTTGCAATATAAGTCTAACAGACTGTAAAAAATAAATAAATAAATAAAAATAAATAAATAAATAAAAAAGGCATGGCACCTCCTATACAAACCGAATACTTTTCATACTGCATATCTCTGGAAATGTTCGTGGTAGAATACTGAGACTTGGTATGGAGATTTATGAAATCAATCACATGGCCATGAAGAAAAATTGGGGCTATTGGAAATCAAACCGAATTTTTCATACTGCATACCTCTGGCAGTGTTCATGATAGAGTACTCGAAGATGGTATGGAGATATATGAAATCAATCCCATACTTCTAGAGAAAATTGAGGCTATTTTATAAGGGGCGCCTTTCAAACGCACTGAAGCTATTACGTATCTTTGTATGCATATACACTTTTGGTAGGTTATTAAAGATGGCAATGGAAATATGCCTTCCTACAACCACCAAACCGTAATATTAAAAATTAAATGCGTCACTGAAAATCATGAACGTGACCTCTATCTCTATATAAACAGTAAATTTGATTTGCTGCAACGTACGTCAACCTACGTTTACGCTACGTCGTTGACTAACTGCGCTTTTAGTCCGAAGTTCAAAGGAACAGTTTTTAGCAGTTTTACCCTATACTAGAAAATCACCCTTTAAGGGTCGTTTTCTCATTTAAGCTATAATTTTATTATTATTTAAAGGTTGCTTTAAAATTTATGATTGTCTTAAGTAAAACATTTTAACACTAATCTCCAGTTAAACATAGTTAGCGACTCTGCCGGCTCAATATCATATGAATTGAGTCGATAACGTCGTTAACGATGTTTAACTGGCAATTAGTGTTATCCAGAGATGTTGAAAACAGCCCTAACGGTTTTAAATTACGCAGCACCAGTGTCTCCGGGGACTAGTAGAACGCATTGGATGAAGCTGCAGACGATGCAAAACACCGCACTACGGACAGCGACTGGATGCCTTCTGATGTCGCCTGATCACCCCTACACGACGAGGCGAAATTGCTCCCGATCAAGGAGCACAACACAATGCTCTGCAAGCAGTTCCTTGTTGGCAGCCTTAGACGTGGTCACCCAAATGGGCAACTGCTTGCAGAATAGCCCTCGCCCAGGCACGTCAGGAGGCATCTCTACGAACTGACGGACGAGGTCCAGAGGCTCATTAAATAACCTCTGGACCCGTCAGCTTATCGACAGGCCCTGGACGGCATTCCCAGGGAGTCAGTCTCGAGTTATGTAGACTCCAGACCTGTGAATGCCGTTCCAGACGCACAACTACCGGACATTGACGAGACAGAGTTTCATCTACCTCGGGAGACTAGAACCACAATAGCACAACTTCGCTCTGGCTACTGCAGCAGGTTAAACTCATACCTGAGCAGACTAAACGCAGATGTACCAAATGAGTGTTCGGCATGCAGAGACACCCCATGATTCGAAACATCTCTTCGTATGCGCGGAAAACCCGACAACCCTAACGCCTTTGTACCTGTGGACCGATCCTATCGAGGTTGCACCCTTCTTAGGGCTGCCGTTAGTGGAACTTGACAACGATTGAGATATTAACCGATCTGGACGGGGTTGTTGTAGCCGCTACAATAACAAAACAGCCCTAACGATCCATATGGTTACAAACATCGCCTCATGTGAACACCGTTTTAGTATACATACATATGTATGTACATACATAAGCATCAGGGCTGCCAACTTCGCTCCAACCGTGCCATTTCTGGGCCAGATTTTACATCAAATGACACTTAATTCTTCAATTAGGCACAGTGCCGAAAAGGCATTTTTCAAAATTAGTAATATTTCAATACATTTTTGGGGAATCCTTTGCATGTAATTCTTTTTCTCAACTAAAGTTTTCTAGTTTCTAAAGATTATTCAACTGGTTTATCTTATTTTGACATTGCACTTTTTTTTTAGAAATGTAGATCTTATTTTATTGCTAAATGGGAAGAAATAAAAAGGATGGCACCTTTTTTGGGTGGGCTTTAGTAGTCAGCCGCACCTTGTGTTTTAAGAAAACCAGGTGGAATTAACAAATGAAACTTGGTCAGGATGTTAAGGGAGGTATCCTCTAAAACATGTATAACTAAAAAATATAAATAATATCATTGTTTATAAGTTATTTGTTGTTAAAATTTCTTAAGTTGTTCCACTTGGTTTCCTTAACAAAAAAGCATTTGTGCATACTTTTATATATATAAATGCACATAACACTGTACTTAATACTTTACACACTTTTCTTTTAGTTTATCTTGTACATAAACCACTTTAATTAAACTTTTATGGACTTGTAAATTACATTGAATTTCACGCATATTTACAATAACACATG